CTCTAAAATTGTGTGCATGCTAAATTTCATATTGCATTTCAAGCCAGCAGAATTAAACAATTTTAATTATATGATGCCTCTAGTACCTTGGTTTATTTCAAAAGATCTCTGATAGCAAAATTCAAGACTTCCCAACACAAAGATACCAGCACTTGTACTTTTTAAATATTGCTAAAATTATGTGCATGCTAAATTTCATATTGCATTTCAAGCCAGCAGAATTAAACAATTTTAATTATATGATGCCTCTAGTACCTTGGTTTATTTCAAAAGATCTCTGATAGCAAAATTCAAGACTTCCCAACACAAAGAGATACCAGCACTCAGTGGTTGGAGCTTGCTTCCTTGAGCTTGATCAATACCCTCAGGGGGATGCAGAGCTGGGACTCACATGCCCTTGCTGAGTGTATTTTGTGTAACTAATAATATGGAACGACAAGACATCCTTATCCAAAATTAATGTTAGCATAATGCCGCTTTAGTTCACATTAAGTTAGAAACTGACAATCTAAAGTACCATTATTTTATTTAAAAATAATCTTGGTGACAACTTAAGTGTGAAATGTGGAACAGAGTTGTTCAAGCATTCATCAACCCTGGTCCACAACGAAGAAAAGTTCTAGTAAAACAGGATTATATATATTTGTTCCAACTATTTTGACCACAAAGTTTAATAAATTTTAAATTTTTAACTGGAAAAAAAAAGCCAAAAGCAAAACAAACGAACAAACAAACAAAAAAAACAGGTAAAGATTTTCATCCAGTCCAAAATGGAGAGTGACATTTTGGTGGCCCTAATTTCCTACTGTGTCCGAATCTCTGATCTTAGTTGGCCCAGTGGCCTTCCATTCCCTCTCCCTTTAGCTTTAGCGGGCTTGGCAGATTACTGCTGCTGTGGTCACCTGCACTGACTCATAGCCTTCACTTTACAGAGGAGAAGGCAGAGGTTTGGAGGGCTGAAGCCACTTGCCCAGCCCCGCCGCTGGCATGAGACTTGAACCCAAAGCCACCCAACTCCTAAGCCTGTGTTCTTTCCATCACACTTATGTGCAGGAGATTTGGCAAAAATCATCTAAAGAGGAATTCAAAACAATTCAACCTAGGGAGTCAATAAAACCTCTTAAAATTAGGAATAGAGTATATCTTACATGAAAAGGAGAAACCCAAGAGTTAATTCTTTAGGAAGCGAGAAATGGACTTGGGAGTCACCTTCTGGGGGGAAACGTGGTGAGTGGAACCCTGGGAACCCCAGGACCAGAGCCTTTGATCTCATCCCTGAAGCTATGGTTCCCACTGTGGTAGGGAAGGGGGTATCCCCTGCAACTGCAGAAACACCAGGCCAACTGCAAGCTCTCAGTGATGACACAACAGTAGGGAATCCACCCCATCCTACACTCCAAGCCCTCTTTAAATAATTTCCAGAAAGAAAAAGTGAAATACGCATGCTGAAACTCCCAAACAAGCAGGAGGTCATGGAACATAACACCCAGGGTGAGCACACGGGGCAGGTGTGGGATACAGAGGGGGTAATGAATGTCACGAGGTGAATTCCCAGAGCCTGAGGGCTGTGGCCCGACCACTGACACCTGTGCAGAGTCAGAATGAAAGTCTCAGGGCCACCCTCCCCCGACACCCTGTCACTTTTGACATTTGGCATGCACCCTGGTGTCCTACTCAGCCACCTGGCTTTCAGCAGGAACTCGATAAAGATTTCATGCTGTAGAACTTTAGAAAGCATGGAGCGAACACAAACCCTGATAAGTCCAGTTCTGGCAGAGGCAGAAATAATTTGCACTTGGTACTTTCTGAGCCGGAGTCAGTGTGGGCCTTCTGGGAGGACAGCCCTCGAATTTATGCTCCCAGGAAAGACCCAGAAGGGCTACCTCAGCAGGGGAGGCACTCCAGGGAAGAGTGATGGCAGACGGGCCCTTGCTCAGCCGGGGCCTCCTTCTTGGCAACTCTGCTCCCTCTGGCCCCTTCCGTGGACCCCTCCCCGACAACACGCGCACACACGTCCAGCCCGCGTCCTCCTTGTGACGTCAGTGACGTCAATCCCAGCACGCTCCTGAGGGGTGGGCCTTCAGGCCGTCACGCCAGCCAAAGCTCCCAAAGCTCCCAGGGCCCGGCCCTGCAGAAACTCCTGCCACATCACCACAGCTCCCTCTGTGCTCTGTGCGCCGATTTCCACTGTTCCTGGGTAGACCCGATCTTTGGCGGGGAGGGCTGCACCCATCTTGTCTTACGGTGGCCATGTCTGCATCCGCGTCAGACTTAGCCATGCAACCAGGTAAAGGGATCCGAAAACAGGACTGCAGGCTGCTGTGTTCTTATCGGGTTACTACTCAAATTTAGTTCTGTATCCATATGTGGATGAAAGAGAGAAAGGGGAAAGACCCAGTGTGAGCAGGTGGAGGGTAAAAGCAAATCCAGGAAAGAAGTATCTATAAGGTGGGTGAACATTTATTAAATATAAAAATAAAGCAAGGTATGGTGGTGCACCCCTAAAGCCCCAGCACTCTGGGAGGCTGGGTCAAGAGACTTGAAAATTTTAGCTCAGCCTGGGCAAGTTAGTGGCTTAGAAAAACCATGTCTCAAAATAAAAAATTAAGAAAAAATAAATTAAAAATAAGAAAGGGCTGGTGATGTATCGCAGTGCAAAGGCCCTGGGTTCAATCTCCATTCCCCCGCCAAAAAAAAAAGAAAGAAAAGAAAAGAAAGGAAGGAGAGAAAAAAGGGAAAGGGGAAAAAAGGAGGAAAGAAACAAAATATACAGGAAAAATATTTCATTTCAAAAGGAACAAAAAATTAAAAAACTACTAGGAGTAAGTTTAAGAAGTGTGCAGGGCCTAGACGAAGAATAGTACGAAATGTTACAGAACGACATAAAAGAAGACTCCAATACCTAAAGAACCAAGCTATGTTCCTGGATTAAAATTCAAGCCTTGCAGCGGGGATACAAGCTGGGATGCGGCCTGGTGCTATAGCACTTGCCTGGTATACACAAGGCCCTAGGTTCAGTCCCCAGCACAGCAAAACAGCATATTCAGCATTACAAAGATAAACATTCTCCCCAAAGGTGTTGTTATGCTTCATTCATTCTGAAGCTTAACAAAATGAATTTAAATTCTACTTGAAGAATGTATGTGTGTAATACTCGCCAACAAACATCTGTGAAAAAAGAACACTACTAAATATTAACATACAGCGGATAACACAAAAATTAAGCCTGGGGCACAGCATAAAAATAGATTAATTGATTAGAAAGTTCCAATAGTAAACAAATTCTACATAATATGTAACAATTCTGCAACTCAAAAATATTTATTAGATGAGGAACTCTTACATATATATATATATGTATGTGTATATATATATATATTTTTTTTTTGTACCAGGGATCAAATTCATGACCTTGCACTTTTGAGGCAGGCATGGTGCCACTGAGCTAAATCCCCAGCCCTTACAAATAAATTTTTAAATTTATTTGTAAAATAAGCCAACTAAGCAGTACAAAAAAGAAAAAAATACAAATGGCCAACATATATTAGTCAATCCCACAAGTAATCAAAGAAAAAGTCAATGCAAGCAATAGGCTACACTTTTAAAAAATCAACTCTGAAAGTTTAAATCACGGTTGGGGATTCCACCGGGAAGATGAAGACATGGGTTGGATGGAGGGACCAGAGGGCAACTTGGTAAGTACAGAAATTTTATTTTATTTATTTTTTATTTTTTGGTACGGGATCGAACTCAGGACCTTGTGCTTACAGGCAGGCACAGTGCCCCTGAGCTAAATCCCCTGCCCTTTATTTTTTTATTAGTACATATTTGTGATATGTAATGAACGTATTCATCATGGGGAGTTGGTACAGGCACGGTATATATCATATCTTAATCATGTTTACTTCCCTTTCCCCTTAGAAGTATAATTAAGCAAACTATAATAATGTGCAGAAATAGAGAAATAAATGCTTGCATAACCACAGAACAAAATGCTGTGTAGCCATTAAAAATAGGAGTGTAGAAAAATACATAGTAATATCAGAAAACGTTTGCCTTGAATTAAGAGAATACAGGTTATGAAATCCATTCTTCCAACGAGTGTTTACTGAGCAGGTACCGCATGCGCTAAAACACTTGTCCTCACGACAGTTACATTCTGTAATAAACTGGGACATGAAGTCTGGTTCCACCTAATACAAAGAAGATCTGACTGGAAAGGACCAGGAAATGCAAACCCACGTGTGGGTCCTGGGACGATCGGTGGTTTGTGCGCTCCTTTTTGTGCTTTTCTGAATTCTCCAAACTTTTTTTTTCTTTAGGCACTGGAGATTGAACCCAGGTCCTTGCACATGCCAGGAAAATATTCTACCACGGAGCTATGTTCCTAGACTGTAAACTTTTGGTAATGAATACAGATCACCTTTGTAGCCAGAAAAAAAATGTTGTAATTTTTAAAAAGAATTAAGACATATGTGATAGGTGGCTTTTCAGAATCCCGGGACTTGCTTTGTGTGGGTCCAGGTCCCTGCTGTCAAGAAGTTGGGTGGGACGGGGTGGGAGGTTGGGGAGGGGCACAGCTGGCTGCTGGGGAGGTGGAGACAGGGGGCACTGGGGAGGGGGCACGACCAGCCGTAGGTGTGCGAGCCTGATAACGGGAGCAGTGGGAGGAGAGAAAAGTCCAGGGAAAGGAACATCTTATAGCTCTCTCTAATAACCTCCCCCACAAAATCGTACTGATTCTGATTACAGTGTCTTTCCCATGAGTCAGTGTCTTTTCATCCGCACGAATGGCTAGGCCAGGAGGCAGGTTCTCATTGGCTTGACTCCGTTCCTCCTCACTCCCTTCCCCTCCCCTCCCATCTCTGTTTTTCGAGACAGGATCTCATTATGTAGTTTAGGCTGGCTTTGAACTCCCTATGTAGCCCAGGCTAGCCTCCAACTCGTAGAGATCCTCCTGCCTCAGCTTCCTGAGTGCTAGGATTACAGGTGTGCACCATCTTCCTAAGCCTCTGTTGCCTTTGGGGAAATGGTGTTTCAGAAGTAGCTACTAATAATCAATCATTCATATCATGTGTTCCCTTTTATTCATCAGATGTACTACATTTATCTCTTTCTAGCATCCAGGCAATGGGTAGCCAAGATTCTCTCCCCTGCCTGAAACACTGTCAAATGCTCCTCTTGCCACCCTCCTGCCAGTCAACCCAGCCTTGCCCAGCCCTCCAGAGAGCCTGCGCTCTCTTTAGCACAGCCCTCGCAGGTCATCATGTAACCCTCCGGCAGCAGCCTGGCCCTTGTGACACAGCCAACCCGCATATCGCCAACCCACTCCCTCCCAAGTCAGTGACTTCCAGCTCAGCCTTCCTGGCTCCTTTGGGAGGCTCCAGAAGAGAACACCCCAAAACTGCTGGCTGGGGGTGCAGCTCAGTACAGAGGTCCTGGGTTCAATCCTCAGTTCTGAGGAAAAAAAAACAAACAGGAAGGGGCCTTCTACCCAGGGCTGCTCTAAGTCCAGTTCATCTCAGAACAAAGAAGAAAATGATTGTCCTGTGGCCTGGTTGCTCCCCAAGACCAGCACTGTGAACCACGTGATCACAGGTCTCAACCGTGACAGACTAAACTCTAAGCTCACTCCATGTCCCCTCCAAATACACCCATCTTCCCCATTCACAGCCCGAAAGGCATCAACATTCGCCTTTCCCACCTCCTCCTCTCCCGGTTTATTTCTAGGCTTTAAGGTCCACAGGTCCAGGTGCCCCCCCCCTTGCCTCCTGGCTCAGGGGCTCTCAGCTCAGCTGAAAGGAAACATCTCTGCCTTCTCTCCTCGGAGGCCCACCCTGGGCGCTCTGTCTACTCTGCCAGTCGCTCCTTTGTCCTCTGTCTTGTTGCCTCTGTCAGTAGTGGCTGGAGCACCCTGGGGCTGACTGTGCTTACTTCGGTCTTCCGGCCTTGCAGAAATAAATTCTATCTCAACACCAGCGACAATCGGTTTTACTTCCCGCTCCTGACTTCTCCCCTGAACTATATCCCTTTTGACTTGGTAGCTCCCAGTGTACAAATAAGCGGCTTCTCTGGCAAAACAGCGCTGTGCACCCTGGTGAGGAGCTGCTCCCTTGCACGCCTCCCTTCCTCCCTCTTCGGTTAGCAGATGCTCTACCACGAAGGCATTACCCTGACCTGTCCCCACGGGGACGCTGCTCTCAGCTGGCTCGGTCACACTGAACAGAAGCTCAGGACCTTAGTTACACAGTCACTGGCCAGTGTGGAGACTGGCACCAAAGCGCCCCTTCTCCCTTGCGCGAGAAGGCAGGGTGAGAATGAATGAACTGCCGGGAAGCTCTAAAAAGCCGGACCAAATTCTGGACCATCTCCGACCCTTTCAGGTACGGGAGTAGATGCAGCCCCATGACGTGAGGAGGCCAGTCTGACCGGGGCTCGTCTGCTCGATAATCAGGACTCACAGGAGAGCAGAAGTCGGGCTCTTCCTCCCGCCGCGCCATCAAGCTCCTGTGCCGTGGTCTCCCGTGCAGAGGCTCAGCCGGACCGGTGCCTCCCACACCTTCCCCCCATCATCCAGCTTCTGACAGCCCCGATCCACAGGCACGCAGGAGGCCATCCGCTTCTCACCACCCTCAGTCACAGGGGCTCGGCCAGCCCTGCCCACCCTCCTCTCTTCAGAGGCCCCGGCTTCTCCCACTGCGAGCCTTTCCGCTTCTGTGGTGTTCCCCTCACTCTTCCTGCGTCCCTGGGGCTGGAGCTCCGGTGCTTTGCCGGGTGTCCCAGTCTCGTGGTGCCTGCCGAACTCTGTCCTCGTCTGCTGTCTTATTTCATTTTTATTTTTAGTTTATGTTTTGGTACCGGGATTCGAACTAGGGTCCTTGCGCTGGTGAGGCAGGCGGCAGAACCACTGAGCCAAATCCCTGGCCCACAGGCTGTCTTATTTCTTGAAGGCCACACCACTACCTGAAATTCTCGTTTGCACACGCGCCCGCCTTTCTATCGTCTGCGGCTCTCCTTTCCTGGCCCGCCCAGTCCAGCTCGCTGCAACACTCGGTCCCATCCCTGCTGTTCGGGCAGAGTGAATTCCAGCCGTGGCTGCGGCTGCTGGAGAAGCAGAAAGCAGCTTCGATAGTGTAGGACGCGCTGCCCGCTACAGTGGGAGCCGTGACAGACACGCCCTTCCCCGCCTCCCCGTCCCAGGTCCAAATACAGTGGAAGCCGGTTCCTGCCAGGCTGCGGGCACAGGGACGGTGCGGAGGCAGATGAGATGGTTCAGGGAGAATCTGCGAGGCTCTCCGGTCCTGGGGCTCTAGACGGTGGTTTCCAACATCGGTTCCCAGCTCTTGTGTGGAAAAAGCAAAAAGTGTCTGAGAAAAGGGGCCCCAGAAACCTCTGTGGCCACAATCACAGGAAGCCCCAAGTCAGAGAAGCCAGGGGGCCAGGGATGTGTGCGGAGGTCTCAGGCCACTCTGAGGCCTTTGGTCACAGGTTCCGCATCTGCTGAGGCCTGGAGTCCCCGATACCATAGCGATGACTTCACCCGCTCTGGGGGCGGGATGCCATGAGGGAGGAAGTGGGCACCGGAGCCGTGACAGGTCTTGGGCCTGTCCTGGGACTGCTGGACTGAGGCCACTCGGTTCTAGGCTGGGAGGGGCTGCCCAAGTGTTTCCTGGCACACACTTCCTTTCTCCCGTCTGACTAGCAAGTGTTGCTGGTGCCTCGGCCACAGTTTCCGGCCTCCTTCCGAGATCACAGGCCACAGCCCCAGGCTGAGCGATGGCCCCTCCGGGCTGGTCCTGTCTAAGAGTGGGCCTGAAGACTTCAGAGACAGGGCTAGGCGTGCAGTGGCGGCCACACTCCTTCCCTGCACCCCGCCTCTCCCGAGGCAGATGCTGCGCGACTCCAGGGCACACGCAGAACCAGGTCAGCGGCTGCCGGGGAAAGAGCAGCTCCAGCCTTGGATAAGTAGGGTGGTGCGGGGCACCTGTTCTCAGCACAGGCGTGGTGGGCAGTGCAAGGGCCCTGGAGCCCCCCTTCCCTAACCCTTCTTGCCCGGGATCTTCACCGGGCTGTCACCGGCTCGCGGATGAACACGTCCCACCCAAGCTTCCACTCTCTTGCCACAAGGCCACGGCTCTCCACGGGCCACTCTCGGTCACCTCCAGGCCATTTCCAGGGCTGCTTCCGCTGCTGAATTCCCTTCTCCCACCCACCTCACTCGGCTGACTTCTCAGCCTTCACACGTCAGCTCCTGCGGCCTGGCCCCGGAAGCCTCACGGGTCCCACACAGAGGGGACCCCTCAGCCTCTCACAGCCGACACCTCATCCGACGACCACAGTCCCCAGGCCGCCTCAGACCTTCCTCCTTCCCTTACTCCACTCTGTTTTTTCCAAAGCATTTATCACCTTGAACTATATCACACACTGTTCACATCAGGGCCATACTGTTGCTTTCTTTGAGGGCTTGATCATATTAGGAACGTATTGTTGTATGCGTCTTTCCCCGCTGAGTTTTACGGGCGCAGGGATTTCTGGTTCTTCTGTTAACTTGTGTATCCTAGGTTCGCAGGACAGTAGCTGGAAGTTAGCAGATGACCAATAAATATTCCTGGAGCGAGTGCACCATGACTCTTTTTTTTTTTTTTTTTTTT